CATTTACATTGACCATGCATATCATGTTCTTATGGCTGTTATCCATAATCAACTTGTTGGGAGGCCCCTCACATCCAGGGGCTTTGATACACATTGTATGGCATGGTACAGAAGAAGAAGGAAGAAGAAAAGAAATGAAAAGAAAGGAAAAGAAAAAGATCATGCTCCCTTCTCTCCCAGAATCCGTGCAGGTAAAAAGCGTTCTTCCTATGCATGGCACAAGACGAGAGGCATGACAACATTGAATAAATAATAACAACTACTGGACTGTTAACGGGAATGAAGTGTTGGCCCCGCCCTCGCTTGGGCAACGCCGACGACTTGGTCGGATGTACGGAAGTAGCAACCGACCGTTCACAATGGAAGAGCTGCTCGACAGGCTTCGTCGAGCTGCAGGGGACCGCTTGTTAACGGGAGTGGAATGTTGGCCCCCGCCCTCGCTTGGGCAACGCCGACGACATGGTTGGATGTACGGAAGTAGCAGCCGACCGTTCACAGTGGGAGAACTGCTCGACAGGCATCGTCGAGCTACAGGGGACTGCTGTGGTGCTGCTGTCGACCAGGGAGCTCACAGCTGCAGCTGACTGGTCTGGACGACGCCGTCGACTAGGAGGGGCAGTTCGACCGGGAGGCCTTCGTCGACCTGCAGCTCGACCAGGAAGTCTCCGTCGACCTGCAGCTCGACCGGGAGCAGTCCGTCGATCTGCAGCTCGACTGAGAGCAGTCTGTCGATCCGCAGTTCGATCGGGAGGTCGACGAAGCAGTCCGTCGACCTGTAAAGTGAGCAGCGGTCAACAAGGGGAGCTCGGCGACAACCCCTGACGGTTCTGGTCGACGGAAGGGGTCCGTCAACCAGAGGGTAGCTCGACGGGAGTTGTGGTCGACTAGAGGCACCTGGTGGTCGACCAGAAGCAGTGGTGGTCAACCGAAAGCACCTGGTGGTCGACCGGGTCGATCGAGTAACTTGCTCGACGAGTTCTATGGAGGCACGCAAACGACGCCAAGGTCGCAATGGCGCAGGCGACTTCGGGCTGGTATCCCGAAGTCGATGTGGCTCGTCAGGCGCAGACAACAGCCGATGGATGCCCAACGAGGCAAGTCGGGCCAATCGTCTGCGCGCACTTGCGAGCGTGCGCACTGCTGTGTTATACGGAGCAACGCTGGACAGCCGCTCTGCTGCAGCGTTGGCACGCCGTCGACCTGCTCTGTTGGAAGGTCGCCCTTCTGCAGTGCTGGCGTGGCTCCTCTACGCAACGCTGGCAGGCGGTCGACCGAGCTGTGCTGGCGGTCAACCAGGCTAGCTGCAGGGTTGCTAGGTGCCTTATGTAGTCTTTGTTGCGATTGCTTGTTCTATTATTTTGTAATTCCAACTTTGCTAGTGGAAACTCTTGCCGATTTCTCTCGTGAATGCGCAAGCACTAAGGAACGAAGCAAAGCTACAATCACTCCTAGTAGTTCGTGCCAACCCCCGTAGTCTAGCTCACTACCGTTGTAGATTGACTCTCCGCATGGTGCGGTGAGCGTGGACGGCCCCGCAGATTACCTTCAGATAGGAGCCGACTTTTGCACCTACTAAGTCGTTCGTAGGCCGGCAGCAGCCTTAGTCGCCATGGTCGACCCCGTAGTTGATGCGCGCGTAGCGGACACCTTGGGGGCACGTTTGGCTGACGCGAGGAGACGCCACGCGGATGGCGAGTACGGGACGATCCCCTTGCTGATCGTCGAGTTGGGCATCCGGTCGCAGTGGGCGACGGAACACCCTTCCCATCCTGCATCTCCTCGACCGATGCGCAAAGAAGGTGGTGTCGACGACGAGGTCGACGGTGGTGCACGAGTCAGCGGCAGCGAAGGCACGAGTCAAAGAGGGGTGATCAAGGTCAACGGTGGTGTCGACGGAATCCAGGCGCGAGTGCAGCGGTCGACGGCAGCTGCAGGCAGCTCGCGTGCCGACGTCGATGTTCGATGTCGCTCTCCTCTAGGAATCAATGGAGGGCTCTCGGCGACGACGCATGTGACGGCGGGCGGGATTGCACCGGGTATGGTGTTGAAGTTAGAGAAGCCATGGATGGCGAGAGTGTTTGGTGAAGTAAAAAAGTTGAACTAGGAAGAGAAATGTCGAGGTACAAAAGAGAGATGGTTGGAAACCCTTATTGAACCTAGGGTGTGTTCGGTTTGTACTAAAAGCTACAAAATGAACCTAAAATGAACCTGAATGCGTAACGCTCTCTAAGCATGGAGAAATAATATAAGAACACCAAAATAAAGACCAGAGCGAGCTCTAGCCTACTCCAACACACCCCCAGGCTAGGTGAAGTTATGGAGCAAAACACCTAGCAAACCGGCACACCCCCAGAAGTGGAGAGACGCGTGAGCCCAAGCTCGCGTACGTAGAAACGGTGTGGCGCACGCAGAAGAGCCTTGGTGAAGATGGCAGCAAGGTTGGCAGCAGCGTCCACCTTGCGCAGACGTAAGAAACCAGACTGCACCAGCTCGCGCACAAAGAAATAGCGGACCTCGATATGCTTGCTGCGGGCGTGATAGACAGGATTTTCAGTGAGATGAATCATGCTCGCACTGTCACAGGAGAGTGTCACAGAGGACTGAGAGTGACCAAGCTCAGCAAGGAGAAAGGAGAGCCAGCAAGCCTCCTGAGCTGCCAAGGTGCCTGCGTACAACTCAGCCTCACAGGTGGAAAGGCAGACAGAGGATGAGTGAGTAGAGCGCCAGCTTATGAGACCACTACCAAGAGTGAAGCCATAGCCCTGAGATGAGTGGCGATCAGGGCGGGAGTCAGCATAGGAAGAGTCACTGTAGCCGGAGAGAACGGGAGGAACAGAGCCACCAAGAGTGAGAGCAAGGTCAGAGGTGGCGCGCAGATAGCTCGGGACGCGCTTAGCAGCCGCCCAGTGCACATCAGTGTGGCGGCCTAGACCAACAAAGCGAGAGAGAACACTGAGGGGGTAAGCAAGGTCGGGGCAAGTGCACATCATGGCATACATGAGAGATCCAACGAGCTCAGGATAAGGCCGCAGCTCAGAAGAGGGAGCAGGGACGGCAGGGGCAGTGAGTTGATGGTTAGCGGGAAGAGGGGTGGAGACCGGCTTGGCTTGCGACATCTCAAACCGCTGGAGGATGGAGTGGATATAGAAAGACTGGGAGAGAAAGATGGTGCGGGCAGCACGATCACGACGGATCTCCATGCCGAGGTAGTGACGAAGCTCGCCAAGGTCCTTGCACAGGAGACGCGCCTGCAGGGCCTTCTTGACAGCTGCAAGATCGGCGGAGTCCTCAGCAAGCAACACCAAATCGTCCACATAGGCAAGGATGTAAGGCCTGTGGGGGATGTGCGAATGAAGAGACTGGGGTCTGAGGTTAGAGAGAAGAGTGGCATGGAGGAGAGCATAGCTCCAAAGAGAGTGGGGAGCAGAGGCATGGGTGAGAAGGCAGCGAGTGATTTCCATGAGAGTGCGATTGTGACGCTCGGCAACCCCATTCTGTTCTGGTGAGTGAGGAAGAGTGGAGGTCTGGCGAATGCCATGAGAGGCACAGTAAGAGGAGAGAGAGTGATTAAAGAATTTGCCACCACCATCCGAGTGGAAGCGCGCGACAGGAAGCTTAAAGCGTAGACGAGCCTGCTCAGCCCATCGAATGATAAGGGAGGCAGCGTCAGATTTGGCACGGAAGGGATAGACAGTGGCAAATCGTGAGTGGTCATCAACCAAAAGCAGAAAGTAGCGATGACCTTGACGAGACGCAGTGGGTGAAGGACCCCAGAGGTCCATGTGAACAAGGTCAAGGGGTTGGGGAGAGGCAGAAGGAGAAGAGGGATGGGGTGACTGGGATAATTTGGCCTGGACACATGGGGTGCATGGAGGAGCAGGAGAGGGAGGAAGAGGGGGGAGAGAGGAAAGGAGGCCATGAAGAAGCTTGGAGGAGACCATACTGCGAAGAAGGGGAAAATTGGGGTGGCCAAGCCGATGATGGAGGAGAAGGGTAGGTTGAGTGAGAGAACGACAGTCGCAAGAAGGAGCGGGAGGGGCGGAAGCGGAAGAGGCATGATGGGCAGAAGGGGGGAGAGAGACACGAAGAGTGTAGAGGCGAGTGATAGGGGAAAGAGTAAAGCGTGCAAGATGGCGGTTGCGATGATAGAGATCACAATAGGAGTCACATTCAGGAAAGATAGCTCGCACACAAAGACGTTGAAGTGCAGAGAGAGAGAGAAGGTTGTGGCGGCAGGAAGGGACATAGAGGCCAGTCACAGCACCAGAGGGGGAGGCAGGACAGGGAAGAGAGGAGGTAGCAGTGCAAGTCATGGTCATGGTATCCCCAGCTCCTTGAATGGAGAGGGGTTGGGGAGAAGAGCGAAGCACACCAGCATCACGAAAAACAGAGTCAGTGGCACCACTGTCAAGAACAAACTCAAGAGTGTGAGGGAGAGAAAGAGCAGCAGCTGTGGGACGAGGATACTGAGAATCATTGCCATTAACAGAAGGAGCAAACATCATGGCAAAACGAGGGTCCATAAGGGGAGAAGCTCCCAGAATGCTATCCTGACTAGGCATAGTCACACTGAGAGCAGAGGTTTGAGCACTGGTACCAGAGTCGGCAGCCACAAGTACCGCCTGGACAGAAGACTGGCGACGCTGATGAGAGAGTTGAAGCCAGTTGGGAGGGCGACCAGTGTTCCCAGCCAGGAACCAGTCATTGGTGAGCTTCTGGAAGCAGGAGGAGGAGGGATGATTGGTGCGACCGCATGGCTGACCCTTGCGGGGCCCTTGGCGAATGATGTAGGTGCAAGGAGGAAAGGTGTTGCGAGGGCGAGAGGAAGCAGCGGCGGCAGTGGAGGTGGGGAGAGGGGGGGGGGCGGAAGAGGGTGTGACAGCGGAGACAGTAGGAGGGCAGCTGCGGAGGTTGAGCTCTGCCTGGAGGAGGAAGGCAGAGACACGAGAGAACGACCACTGGTCGGCAGGGCGCTCACCATACACAGTGATATGAACACTTTATTCAGGAGTGAGGCCTGTGAGGAGGGCACCGCACACATGATCGGAAAGTTCAAACTTTTGAGAGGCAAGTTGGGAGGACAGCGTCTGCACACGAGCGATGTAGTCCGCCATGGTGGTGAAGTCAGCAAGGCGAAGAGAGGTAAGCTCGCGTAAGAGGGCAATGACACTGATGGGAGTCTGCGACTGGAAGCGCTCGGTAAGATAGCCGAGAAGGTCCTTGGCATAGCGGATGTGCGAGCACTGAGGGAGAAGGGTTGGAGGTAGGCAGGCAAGGATGACCTGGCAGGCACGTGCGTTGGCAACATGCCAGTCAGCGAGAAGGTCAAAGTGAGATGGAGCAGAAGCAGAGGGAGTAGAGGCAGAACGAGGAGAGGGGACAGCGAGGTGCTCAGTGAGGCGCTTGCGGGTGCTCTCGAGGGACTCAGCAAGGACACGAGCAAGGTCACGGGCTGCAGCATTGTCAGGAGCAGCAGCAGCAGTGGCTTGGGCCGTGGCCGCAATCCGCTCAGTTTCAGCGATAGCAGCACGAAGGCCATCAGCATAGGGGTCAGAGGAGGTAGAGGTAGGTGAAGAGGCAGGTTTAGGAATGGCACAAGAACCACTCTGCTGAGTGACAAACCAGAGGTTAAAGCCACTCACGAGGGTGCCAGACAGCGTGCGCTCGAGACAGTTCAGCCAACTGGGGAAGTTGACTGCGCTGCCATCAGGCGCAAGCTAAAGGACCAGCAGAGGGAGGGAGGGGAGGGCGAGAGAGGTCGCCATAAGGAGGAGGAGACAGCTGCAGAGCAGATGAGGGGAGAGGTATAAGAGGCGGAGGAATAAGGGCGAAGGAGTCCGCTGCTGTGCCGCTGAGGGGAGAAACTAGAGGAGGAGGGATAGTGGCGGAGTAGTCCGCTGCTGTGCCGCTGAGGGGAGAAACTAGAGGAGGAGGGATAGTGGCGGAGTAGTCTGCTGCTGCGCCACTGAGGGGAGAAACTAGAGGAGGAGGGATAGTGGCGGAGTAGTCTGCTGCTGCGCCGCTGAGGGGAGAAACTAGAGGAGGAGGGATAGTGGCGGAGAAGTCTGCTGCTGCGCCACTGAGGGGAGAAACAAGAGGAGGAGGGATAGTGGCGAAGTAGTCTGCTGCTGCGCCGCTGAGTGGAGAAACTAGAGGAGGAGGGATAGTGGCGGGGTAGTCTGCTGCTGTGCTGCTGAGGGGAGAAATAAGAGGAGGAGGGATAGTTGTGAAGGAGTTCACAGTTGAGCAGTTGAGGGGAGGGTACTGAGGAGGAGGAAAGGTGTGGAGGAGCAACAACTTCAATACACAATCAGTCACCAGCTGCAGCAGATGGGGAGAAAAAAGAGGTGGAGGAAAACGAGCGGAAGGGGAGTTAGAGGGAGAGAGGAGAGGAGGAGGATGGTGAAGGGGCGGGTTTGTGGGAAGAGCGCGCCACAAGCACGCACGAGTTGCAGCAGATGAGGAGAGAAAGGAGGACGAGGAAGAGGTGAGATAGGGACGGATGGACAAAGGAGAGTGGAAAGGAGGAGGAGGGCGAGGGAGGGGAGGGCGGATTGGGAAGGGGCAGGGTGCGCCGCAGGGGAGGCAAGCGCCCGCGTTGCTCGACGAAGCAAAGCGCGCGCGGCGACGGCAGCGCAATGGGCGCGCGACGAGACGGGAAGGGGGGCGGAGGGGAGGGGGGGGGGCGGCTGAGCGCGCTACGAGCAAAGAAAACAGCGCGCTACCGCCGGGAACGTGAGAGGAGGAGGCGCGACGAAGGGGGAAGGCGCAGGAGAGCGAACGGACGGTAGGGAGGCGCGCTACGGAGTGAAATAGAGCATCCACGTGACTAAAATGAAGAAAACCGCGAGGATGCTAAGTGTGACTTTAAGGAAACGGTAGAATAGAAGAAAAGGAAAATCGTCTAGGTAAGTAGCGCGGAAATAGCCTAAGGACCAGAAAATTTCTAAGAGATACCGATAAAAGGGAAACGCCTAGGACTAGGCTTTGAATACCATGTTGAAGTTAGAGAAGCCATGGATGGCGAAAGTGTTTGGTGAGGTTAAAAAGTTGAACCAGGAAGAGAAATGTCGAGGTACAAAAGAGAGATGGTTGGAAACCCTAATTGAACCTAGGGTGTGTTTGGTTTGTACTAAAAGCTACAAAATGAACCTAAAATGAACCTGAATGCGTAACGCTCTCTAAGCATGGAGAAATAATATAAGAACACCAAAATAAAGACCAGAGCGAGCTCTAGCCTACTCCAACATATGGCTACTTCAAGTTCTCGTCGGATCGAATCACCGTCGCACCGCTGCAAGGTCGACGGGACCTCATCACTTGGAGGGAGTCGATTGAACCTCAGCTAGAGGTCGCCGGGCTGAAGGGCTTCGCCGACGGCACCATGCCAATTCCAGCCGAGGAGGAGGTCGAGCTGCGCGGGGAGTTTCGTTCTGCTCACCTGCTCACCTTCATGGTCATCTCGAGGTGCTGCTCGCCGGTGGTGCAGCTAGCGCTCAGGAGCTGTCGAGAGCGACTGGATGCTAGTCACCAGGCATGGCACTTCATCATGTTGACGTACCAGGCCAGATACGACCTGTACATCGAACAGTTGGAGGAGAAGATGACTCACATTCGGATGGGCCAGCAGGAGTCGGCGACGGACTACTGCAACCGTGCTTGACGGATCCTAGCTGAGAAGAGGATGGCGGGCGCCGAATACTCGACGGCGTCCTACATCACCCACGTCCTCAAGGGCCTGCCGCGCAGCTACAACCTCATGAAGAGGTTTACGATGGTGCTCGGCACACGTGAGTCCCTCGACGAGGACTCCCTTACCAGCTACATCCTCCAGGATGAGGCGATGCAGGAGGCAGAGCAGCCCACGGAGTTCCTTCCGCAGGCGAGTTACGCTGCACCGACGAAGCCGAATTGTCAGTAGGAGCAGCACAGAAAGCCAGGCGGAGGTGGTAGCGGAGGTGGGCGGTCGACGAACGACGTCGACGAGAAGAGGTCGACGCGGGACAAGGGTCGACGAGGTGGTGGTTGACGGCGGGAGTGCTGGATTTGCGGCGACCCCGACCATCTCTCCTTTGAGTGCCCCGACCGCGATGACAGCGACGAGGACGACAACAAGGGAGGCCGCGGTCGATCGGCCAGTCGTCGCCCCCGTCGAGATGCAAAGCCGTGCAAGGAGAAGCAGGCTTCGAAGAAGACGTCGTCGACAAAGGACGTCGACAAATCCAGCGGCAAGGGCCGAGGCGACGTGGAGGCGTCGTGCTCGATGGTCGGCGTGGTGGAGCCGACGGTCTCGCTAGCGCCGGAGGCTGGCAAAGACTACCAGGCGGTGGCGGCAGTGGTGCAGGCCAACCCGATGGCGGTGCTGCTCGACAGCGGGTGCTCCCGCCACCTGATGGGGACGAAGGCGGTCTTCATCGACATGGCACCGAGCGACGGAGAGAAGCACGTACGTGGATTCAACGGGGCGCTGCAGCCCGTCGAGGGTCGCGGAACCGTCGCTCTACAAGGGGAGGACGGGAAGCGGATCCTCATCCCCGACGTACTCCTCTTTCCGGGCGTACAGGCAAACATGCTGTCTGCTGGCCAGCTGAAGGAGAGCGGAGTGCAGTTGCAGGGCGACGGCGACGAGATGCTGCTCGTCGCTGCGAGCGGGGAGGTGCTCGGTTGAGCACGCTACACCGGACGAGTCCTCTGCACCGACCTTCGCCCCTGCTCGACGTTGTCGTCGTCGTCGACCGAGGTGGTGGCTTTGCGGACGATCGTCACGGCGACGAAGACGACCCCCGATAGGATACATGCGCGGCTCGCACACGTCAGCGTCGACACGATCAAGAGATCGGAGAAGCATGATGTTGCTACTGGGCTCGACATCACGTCGTCGACCGGAGCAGACCCGCCGTGTGTCTCGTGCATCCAAGGAAAGCTGGCGCGGCACACCTTCCCCGCCAAGGGCTCTGACGCAGCGGAGGCACTGGCTGTCGTGCACATTGACTTGTGCGGGCCATTTCGGGTGGCTGCCGAGGATGGCAGCTTGTACTTCATGTTGCTGAAGGATCGCCAGACTCGATTTGTATGGGCAATGCCGGTCGCTAAGAAGAGCGACGTACTGCGGGACTTCCAGCGGTGGCTGGTGCTGGTGGAACGGCAGACGAAGAAGTCGGTGCAGTCGCTTCGCTCCGATCAAGGAGGGGAGTTCCTCGGGAAGGCGTTCACCGACTTCGTCAACGGGAAGGGCATCGTTCACGACCTAACGTGCCCCTACACTCCACAGCAGAATGGCATGGCTGAGCAGGAGATGCGCACGGTCGTCGAGTCCGTGCGGACGATGCTGCTGCACAGAGGCCTGCATCACCACTGGTGGCACCTTGCTCTACAACAAGCTGTCTGGGTGCGCAACTGCTTGGAGCGGTTGACGACGCCGCTGGGGACGACTCCGTACGAGCTGCTGACCAGGAAGAAGCCCAACCTTACGCTGACGCGGGTGTGGGGCTGCATGGTGCAGTTCATGGTTCCCGAGCAGCAACGTGGTGGGAAGCTGGCGCCTAAGGCTCGCTGGGGGCTTCACCTGGGTGTGTCGCCAGAGAGCAAGAGCTGGGAGGTGCTCGACCTGACCGATAACAAGGTGGTCACGTCAGACGAGGTGATCTTCTACGAGACGCTGTCGCTGGAGGTGTGGAAGGCGAAGTTTGGGCCGCCGTCGGGGCGGACGCAAGCACACCCGCCGACGGACACCTCGACGGCAACGGTTCCACTGCTCACCGAAGTCGACGAGCCTGCTGATGAGGATGTTGTGGAGGTCCTTCCACCTCCCCCTGTTTTTGCTCCTCCCTCTCCCGTCGCAGATCGGCCTGCTTTGACACATGTGTCGGCCACCGGCGATGAGGGGAGCCGTGAGGCGTCGCCGGTGGCGCCGGCTAGTGGCATCGCCAGCGGTCGAAAAGGCGCCAACCTCGTCGATCAGGATGGGAAGCCGTCGACGACAGGGGAGCACCAGACAGGGGAGCCGGTCGAACAGGAGGCAACAGCAGGGGTACAGCCGACAGGAGAGCAGCAGCTGGAGCGGTCGACGGGGGAGCTGTCGAAGTCAGCAGCAGACGATCAGCCAGTCGAAGGGTCGAAGCAGCTGGTCGACGACGAGGACGTCGACGAGGAAGGGAAGCAGTCTGTCAAACTATGTTTTGCATAGTTTAAATAGCTGTTTGTAGTTAGTGTTAGTGTAGTTATATATTTGATTATATGGTGGTGCACCTTGGCTAGTTTGCAATATGTACCTTGAGTGCTATAGTGAACCCAACCATTCTCTCTCTCGCTTGGCACAGCTCTCTCGACTCCCGCTTGGCCTAGGCTACTAAGCCTAGGCCTACTAGTTAAACTCATTGCCTAGATTACGCTCGTACTTTGACACAGTCGGCGGGTGAGGAGTCCACCGATAGCGACGTGGTGGAAGTGCCGATCACGAAGCCTGAGCTACGACGCACAGGTCGAGCTCGACGACCGCCGGAGCGGTTGAGCTTCCACGCCTGCCTACCGCCAGCTGCCTTCACCATGGAGTACACCCTGTTGAGCTGACGACGACCTGCTGTACGACGATGCCAAGGAGGATGAAGACCTGCCGGAGCTCGACCCTGACGTGCATGGTGACCCCGAACACCGCAGCGACATCGCCACGATGACGGTGAAGGAGGCGCTGTCGAGCTGGAAGGGCGAAGCGGTGAAGGCCGCCATGGAAGAAGAGATCCGTAGCCTCATCGGTATGGGGACTTGGGAGCTGGTCGAACGCCCACGCGGGGTGAACATCATGAAGAACCGGTAGGTGTTGATGACCAAGTACCGCATCGACGACACCGTCGAGCACGAGAAGGCGAGGCTGGCCGTGAAGGGCTTCACGCAGGTGTACGGCGCCGACTGCGACGAGACGTACTCGCCGGTGAGCAGCTACATCATGCTGAGGATCTTCCTCAGCATCGTCGTCGTCCTCGACCTCAACCTGATGCAGCTCGACATGAAGAACGCTTTCCTGCAGAGCAAGCTCGACAGGGTGCTCTACATGTACCAGCCGGACTACTTCGACGACGGGACCTGCCGGGTGTGTAAGCTGCTGAAGAGCCTCTACGAGCTGAAGCAGTCGCCGCTGCTGTGGTACAGGGCTCTCAACAGTGTGCTGCTAGACGCTAGCTGGAAGAAGAGCCAGGTCGACGAGGCGCTCTACTTCAAAGCCGGCGACGACGGAGTGACCTGCTCGCCGCCAGCAGTAGCACCACGATGTTGAAGGAGCTGAAGGAGTTGCTGGAGGCCGCATTCGAGCTGCGTGAGATCTCGTCAGTGGTGAAGTACCTTGGGCTGGAGATCGTGCGCGACAGGCCGGCCAGGAAGCTGTGGCTGCACCAGTAGGGCTACGCCAACAAGCTGCGCAGGCGCTTCATCGACGAGGAGCAGGGCGGTCGAGTCTCAAAGACGCCGGTCTCGGTCGACGCCTACGCTCAGCTGACGTTCGACGACAAGGAGGCCCTGGAGCGCGAAGAGGAGGAGTACCGACAGAAGGTCGGCTCGCTGCAGTTCGCGGCAACGACGACGAGGCCGGACATCGGGTTCGCCTGCAGCAAGCTAGGGAGCGGCCTCACGGTGAGGAGCGACCAGCATTGGCACGAGGTCGACCGCTGCCTCGCCTACCTCGCCGTCACCCGCGACACCGCCCCGGAGTTCGGCGGTGGACATGAATCGTTGGAGCTGATCGGCTACGTCGTTGCCGACAACGCAGGCGACAAGCTGAACTGGACGAGCACGGGAGGCTACGTGTTCGTCTACGGAGGGGCGGCCGTCTCCTGGTCGAGCTCGCGCATCAAGTGCGCGACATTGTCATCGACCGAGTCGGCGTACGTGGCGGCCACGGATACCAGCAAGGAGGGGCGTCGACTTCGCTTCCTCCTTGCGGAATTCAACTTGCTCGACGCCGGGAAGCCGACCATCCTCCGCGTTGACAACAAGTCGGCAATCATGGTCGCTGAGGGCTTGGGGCTGACGGGCAACCTCAAGCACATGGAACGACGCAACGCCTGGCTGCAACACATGGTGAGGCTCGGGAAGTTCGTGCTGAAGTACATCCCGACCACCGAGCAGCCGGCGGACTTCCTGACGAAGGTGATGCACTTTCCGGCTTTCAACCGGTGCTCTGTCGCCATCGGCCAAGTTCGTTTGTCTGACGTCGGCGACGGCGACGATGAGATGCAGCAGTAGGTATCGTGCCCTTCTGCACGGCTGGTGCAGTGACGGCGTGCTGTGTGTGGAGTGCACGCCGAGGACGAGTTTCTCCGTGGAGTACTACCGTGTGGGCTGGAGGCCCAAGCGTGAGCACGGCAGGGGATTGTTAACGGGAGTGGAGTGTTGGCCCCGCCCTCGCTTGGGCAACGCCGACGACTTGGCTGGATGTACGGAAGTAGCAGCCGACCGTTCACAATCGGAGGGCTGCTCGACAGGCATCGTCGAGCTGCAGGGGAACGCTGTGGTGCTGCTGTCGACCTGGAAGCTCGATAGCTGCAACTGACTGGTCTGGGCGACGCCGTCGACAAGGAGAAGCAGTTCGACCGGGAGGCCTCCGTCGACCTGAGGGACCTGGTGGTCGACCGGAAGCACCTGGTGGTCGACCGGGTCGACCGGGTAACTCGCTCGACGAGTTCTGCGGAGGCACGCGAACGTCGTCAAGGTCGCAATGGCGCAGGCGACTTTGGGTTGGTATCCCGAAGTCGATGTGGCTCGTTAGGCGCAGACAACAGCCGATGGATGCCCAACGAGGCAAGTCGGGCCAATCGTCTGCGCGCACCTGCGAGCGTGCGCACTGCTGTGTTCTACGGGGCAACGCTGGACAGCCGCTCTGCTGCAGCGTTGGCACGCCGTCGACCTGCTCTGCTGGCAAGTCGCCCTTTTGCAGTGTTGGCGCGGCTCCTCTACGCAACGCTGGCAGGCGGTCGACCGAGCTGTGCTGGCGGTCGACCAGGCTAGCTGCAGGGTTGCTAGGTGCCTGATGTAGTCTTTGTTGTCGTTGCTTGTTCTATCATTTTGTACTTCCAACTTTGCTAGTGGAAACTCTTGCCGATTTCTCTCGTGAATGCGCAAGCACTAAGGAACTAAGCAAAGCTACAATCACTCCTAGTAGTTCGTGCCAACCCCCGTAGTCTAGCTCACTAGCGTTGTAGAGTGACTCTCCGCACCGCTATGGTGTTGCTGTCGACCAGGGAGCTTGACAGCTGCAAACGACTGGTCTGGGGGACCGGTGGGCTGTTGACCAGGAGGGACAGTTCGAACGGGAGGTCGACAGAGTAGTCTGTCGACCTGCAGCTCGACCGGGAGGTCGACGGAGCAGCCGGTCGACCTGACCAGTGAGCAGCGGTCGACGAGGGGAGCTCGGCAACAACAGCTAACAGTTCTGGTCGACAGAAGGGGTCCGTCGACCAGGCGGTAGCTTGACAGTAGTTGTGGTCGACCAAAGGCACCTGGTGGTCGACTAGAAGGACCCAGTGGTCGACCGGAGGCACCTGGGGTAGACCACATCACCTAGGGGTCGACCAGGTCGACCGCGTAACCTGCTCGACGAGTCTTGTGGAGGCACGCGAATGTCGTTGAGGTCGCGATGGCGAAGGCGACTTCGGGCTGGTATCCTGAAGTCGACGTGGCTCGTCAGGCGCAGACAACAGCCGACGGATGCCCTACGATGCAAGTCGGGCCAATCGTCTGCGCGCACCTGCGAGCGTGCACACTGCTGTCTTCTACGAAGCAACGCTGGACAACCGCTCTGCTACAGCGTTGGCATGCCGTCGACCTGCTCTGTTGGCAGGCCGCCTTTTTGCAGTGCTCGCGCGGCTCCTCTATGCAACGCTGGCAGGCGGTCGACCATTCTGCGCTGGCGGTCGACCATGCTAGTTACTGAGTTGCTAGGTGCCTGATGTAGTCATTGTTGTCGTTGCTTGTTCAATCATTCTACAATTCCAACTTTGCTAGTGAAACTCTTGCCAACCTCTCCTGCAAATGTGCAAGCGCTAAGGAACCCAAACAAAGCTACGATCACTCTTAGTAGTTCGTGTCTACCCCCCGTAGTCTAGCTCACTACCGTTGTAGAGTGACTCTCCGTATGGACCCCGCGCGGTGCTTGTAGGCCAAATTCATTCTGGACCGTAGCAAGGCTCTACTTCCCCTTGCTCTGGCACATTAACGCTTCCCCCTGAAGCGAACCTCCTCCTCTCACACATTTCTGCACCCCTCCTCTTGCACCCCTCCTCTCGCACCCCTTTGGTGGAGGTAAAGATGATCGCCGAATCTGTCAGGATGGTTTACATGGACGTGGTGTGTCAGAATGTTATAATTGTCTAGCCTGCAGTGGGGTACTCTATAGCGAGTACAACCAAATTAGGGTTTCCTATATGTATGCCAACTGCTGCTAGTGCAAACCCCTCTTCTCTCATTCCTCATTTCTTCACATGGTGATCCTCATTGAGGCCGCTGCTCTTAGGGAGGAGGGGAGAGGGGAGGCAAGGGGGTTGGGGGTACAGAAATTAGCTCGGCTCGCCACGGCGCAACTTCTTCCTGTGAAACAGATCTGCTAAAATATGCCACCAATAATATTTATCTCAGGGGTGCATGTAAATTAGACCCTTGATCTTGTCCATGTCTGAGCTTGACACCAGATCTAGCACCCTGTAGAAGGCCAACCCTTCCAAGAACGCCATGCGTCCGCGCTTCACCAGTCCTGCCGTTACCGTCCGCTTTTGGACGATTTCCTGGGAGATCATCGCCAGCACACCTTTAAAGAGAACTGCAATAGCTTATGGATAAGCCGATCTCTCATTTCGGTATTGTTGGAAACAATAAGTCCTAAGTGCGCTTCTGTCGTATCAAACCCAAGGCACCAAGCGAAGCAGTCCCAAACGAAGCATCGAGTCAACCTCGGAGGTTAGGGTAACCGCCTGGAGGTTACGAGAAAGTCAAAGGTCGCTGACCTTTGACTCGACAATCACAGCGCGACAGTTAAGGACACAAAACTGACTCGTTACAGAGCAGTTGCCCGAGTCGCACTGTATCGAACCGCAACAGCAATACAGTTATCTACCTATCTATTCGTATTCCCTGTACTCTTATATAAATCCTTGTATTTGCTTGTTTAATTTAATCTACTTTGCTCTCACACACCAGTGCAAGGTCGGTTCACAATTCTCATTAAAACGCTTCCACTATTACAAGTTTCTACCCAAGAGTTCTCCTCTGCAAAGATCCTAAGGGCTATTTTTTCAGCCCAACAGGTATGACGTGTTTCAGAGTGTTGCCTGTCGAGCACCAACCGCTTGTTATCCATGCTGACATGCTCCACTTTCCATCTCCATATGAAATCCGCATCCACCGCGTGCTGCAAGACAACTTGCGTCTGTCCTTAGCAATCATTAGGTACGTGGGTAGAATTTGCTGAAACTTCGTCGTCTTCTTCACGGTGGTCGACACGTGCTTACCACATAGCAGAAGTTTCTTGACCGTAACGATGGTGCGTGGAATCTCCCAGATCCAGGCACGCGAGCTCAGCAGCGTGATCGCCGAGCCGTCCTGAGGTGCGATCACACAAATGACGGCTGGGTCCATGCATTTCGTATGGATCGTCGCTGAGATACACATCTTCATCCACTTCCGCAACTAGAATCTACCGAGAGGTTTACCGTATTTTAAACAACTTATAAGAAAAAATATGAAATTGAAGATCTCAAATTGCCTGACAGAATTTATGGTGGCGAGATCAGGGAATCCATCCTGGTACCGAATCTTATTCCCCTAGGCGTGAAATACTTAAGTAATGCATATCCAACCTGTTTGGAGCATGGACTCTTTCCAACAATCACAACAGCTACAAATGAAACATTTTCCTTGTTCCTCTGACGATGTCGCGCGAGATGTCAGAGAGGACGCGCTCCCACGCGCGGGCTCGATTCGATGTCATATGGCCAAAAATTTCGTAGAGACAATGTCCCAGCGGACACCACCGTATCAAACCACGCTCAAACCATCGCGCATCCCATTTTACTCATTCACCGTGCTCAGGTTTTACTCAGTGACTCGGGATTTTGACATCCCCCCAACCCCAACCTGCGACCGCGATTACCGTCTGATCAACTCACTGTCCCGTCCAATCCCGTCAGTTCCGCCGCACCGCTCAGTCGGCCGGCACAAAATATGCCAGCTAGTCCATCCCATCTTAGATCTAACGTCCTATAGCATATAGGAGTGTTGATGCTGGAGCACAAGACGTCAGAGAGTGGAGCTCTTGTGACTCGTTTCTCCTCGGTAGCTCAGCCAGCTCAGTCACTAGCAGTCGCACCAGCAAACTTTACGATTCATTGCTCGGAGCAATGGCTGACATCTCAATCCAGGCGGTCTACGCCAAGAGCGGTCCAATGTCGGCGCCACTGTCGGCACCGACCGAACTCATCTGGGTGGAGTCCTCTCCTGTCGACGGCCTCTCGGACGACATGCTCGGTCGCATCTTCAGCTACGTTGAGCCCGTCGCTCATGGCGGCGACACGTCAACTCCATGTTCGCAACAGCAGTCGCACAGCCACCATATTTCGCAGCCTGCATCTAGTCGCTCCCAGCCATCCGTCGGCAAACGGCGCGATTCTATTTATGATATTTCCGGGATCTCCAACTCTGGGTCTGCTAATTTTGACGGTAGTTACGCCCTCGTCTGTCGCCGATGGTACCATGTCGCATGTGCGACTCGCTCACACGTCGAACTGTCGCCTGAGCGACGGCTGTGCACCCGGCGATTCTTGAAGGGTGTCGCTTCGTTCCCGTCGTTGACGTCTATCGCTCTGCCAGATGGAAGCCTCTCATTGGCCAACGATCACCTCCTCTCTCAGTTGGCTGCCACGTGTCCATCGCTTACTCACTTCCATCTCTGACATGGCCGAGCAGGTTACCATTCGCGGCAGGCGCGTCGCGTCCACGTCATCTCGTCCTGATCACCGCGCCGCCTTCACTGAAGCCGGCCTCGCGTCGCTTTTCTCTTCCTGCCCGCGGCTCGAGTCCCTGGAGCTGCACTGCCCGCTAAATCTGACCGCTCTTCCTCCGTCAATCTGCGGGTTGACTCGCTTGACGGCGTTAAAAATCACCGCTCGGGGACTAAAACGCCTTCCTGACGGATTCCGTCAACTCTCCGTTCTCGTCAGTCTATCAATCGACTCAGAAGCTCTGGAGAAGCTTCCAACCGGCTTCGCGACGCACATCGACGAAACTGCAGAGCCTTCCATTCGACCAAACGATTCGCGCATCTCAGATGCGTATGCGAATGCGAACGCCGCAGACGGATCGCAGAACGTCGCTCGTCAGAATAGTCACATACTGCCTCAGGATGATAACTCTTCGATGGTTACTTCGCTCGGCCCCCTCGCTTCTCTATCCCTCTCGAACACTCCCTCCCCCGCACTTCCCCTCCCCACGCTCTCCGCCCTCCGCCACCTCTCCCTCGACCGCTGCCGCGCTCTCCGCGCTCTCCCCTCATCCCTCCCCGCCGAGCTCCCCCTTCTCGAAACCCTCGAGCTGCGCGAATGCGCCTTGCTTTCCGCCGTCCCCGCCTGCCTCCCCGCGCGCTTTTGCCGCCTCCGCGCGCTCACCCTCGCGTACCTCCCCTCCGTGCACACCCCTCTCCCCGCGCTCCTCTCTGCATCCCGCCCGTCTGCTCCCGACGCAGCGGAGGAAGCGGCAAACGGTCATTCCTGGGCAGTTTCGGAAGGGGGGGTACCTTGTAAGGAGGATGCGAGGGAGAGCAGGGTGGGACGGGCCCGGCTGGAGCTACTCGAATGGAAGCGGATGCAGGAGATTTTTGAGACGTCTCAAAAGGAGAGCAAGGTAGGACTGGCCCGTCTGGAGCTACTCGAATGGAAGCGGATGCAGGAGACTTTTGAGACGTCTCAAAAGGAGAGCAAGGTAGGACTGGCCCGTCTGGAACTAATCGGATGGAAGCAGATGCAGGAGATACCCGCGGAAGCCCTCACCGCTCTCTCCGCCTCCCTCACTCACTTAAATGTTTCCAACTGCCCCGCCCTCTCCTCTCTCCCGGACGAGCTTTGTCAGCTGCCCCACCTCCGCTCCCTCACTCTCCTCTTCCTCCCACTCATCGCCTCCCTCCCTGCCTCCCTCCACCTCCTCTCCCACTCGCTGCACCATCTGGAGATTTCCTTCTGTGATTCGCTGCAGAGTCTCCCCGCGTCCCTCACCGCCCTCGCCGCCCTGTGCTCCTTGCATCTCGTCGCGTGTGGCGCGCTCACCCGCCTGCCCTCTCCGCCAGTGGCTTTGCGACCCGTTGCGCATGGGGAAACAGGTGGGGGGAATGGCGGCAGTGGCATCCGTGGCAGCAGCAGCAACAGCAGTGGTGGTAGCAGCAGAAGCACCACCACCACCACCACGACCTCCACCTCCCAGACGCCCCTCCCCCTCCTGCCATCGCTCACCTGCCTGCGCGTCTCTCTCTGCGCGCGCTTCACCGCCCTGCCTCGCGCATGGATGCACCTGCCGTCTCTACAGGAGCTGATCCTGCACGGTATCGACCAAATGGAGTCACTCTTCGACGGGGATAACACTGTTCATCATGACACTGTTCAGTCTGACAATTTTCCTCCATTCCCCCCTCCCCTCCCCTCTCTTCACTCCCTCACTGTCTCCGACTGCCCTCGCATCTCCCGCCTCCCTGCCTTCCTCTCCTGCTCCCCCACTCTCCTCCACTTGAAGCTACACGGCCTCTCTGATCTCGCCCTCCTCCCGTTTCACACCGCACCCAATGCTAATATAACGGGTGTGGCTCTAACGGGTGCAGATGCGGTAACTGGCGCTGCTGCTGCTGCTGCTGCTGCCGGATCGGACAGGCTTGAAGGGTCCAGTGGGATGATAGGATTGGTGACGCTTCACATTGACTTGAAGCACAACGCGCACATCACACACCTCCCTCACTCACTCTTTTCCCTCCCCTCCCTCGCCACACTCACTTTCTCACACCTCTCGCACGTCGCCTCCATCCCCCACTCCCTCTCCCTCCTCGCTCCCACCCTCACTCACTTGCACATCAGCCACTGCCCCTTGCTGACCGCCCTCCCTCCCTCCCTCTGCCGCCTCTCCTTCTTGCAAACCCTGGTCATCCAATCATGTGCGTCCCTGATGTCTGTCTTGGGAGAAAGAGCAGGAGGGAAAGGAGAAAAGGTGGAGAGGGAGGGGGGTGGAGAAGGAGAGAGGAAGAGGGAGTGGGAGGGAAAGGAGGGGATGCGGGAGGAGAAATGGGAGGGAAAGGGGGATGCGGGGGTGGGAAGTGGGGAGGATTTGAAGCGGCATCATGATATGGCTGCCATGTACTCGTTAGAAGAACTCTCAATCACAGACTGTGAATCATTGACACACCTGCCGTCAAGCATCAGCCTGCTACCCCGTCTCACCTCCCTCCATCTCTCTCAACTCCACAGCCTCGTCACACTACCACCCTTCCTCCCCTTAACCCTCTCCCTCACTTCCCTCACTATCGCCTCGTGTGATCGCCTCTCGTCTCTCCCCCCTTTGGGCTCTTGTCCGGCCTCCAGACCTTGATTTTTTCTAGCCTGCCCGGTCTCGCTTCCCTGCCTGATTCCTTTGGCTGCTGCCCAGCCTAGAGCAATTTACCCTGCACGATTGCTGCCTGCTGCGCTGCCTGCCTGACTCGTTCCCCCACCTCTCTAGATTGGCCCAGCTCAGCATAACGGACTGTGGGAAACTCGAGCAGTTACCAGTCAATGTAGGGTCACTTTCATCTCTGGAATGGTTGGAGCTGGAGAGGCTGCCAAAACTTTCCGAGCTGCCCGAGTCGATGAGCCAGCTGCCCAGGCTTTGGCAGGAGGAGATTCGGGGATGCAAGGGTGTGAAAGGCGTTCCAGAGTGGTTAAGGGCGATGCCGGAGGTTGACCTTGTTGTAACATAAGTGGTATGCTGGGTGATTCGGGTTATATGAGGGAGTGGAGTCCCCATAAATGCTCTGTGTTCCAAAAGCAATCGGGAAAACTGTTTGCTTCTTGCTGTCCGCCTTCCCATGTACGGTACGGCAGTGCTAAGCATAATTGCATTACCGTATTCTCCCGGACATAACACCCTAGGGTATAGCTAAAAATACAGGGAAAAAATGGGGGGGGTCTCCTCATAGGAAAAAAATACATAATACCCGGGTCTTTACATATGGCATATTTTAGTGTTAGTGTTTTTTTAATTAGTCAATGTGGGTGTTTTGCTGGTCGTTTTAGCATCACTGCCTGAGGCGCGAATGCGAGTTTCGGCCTCGAACTTCATCGCCCCCACGAAAATGGCATGTGGCACCTCTCTTGCCACTTGCAACGGACGATTCACCTGCACGTGGCGACAGAGAAATAGTGGGAGGGGGCAAATCTCGGCAGATTGCCTTTGAATGTACCGCGGAATTTCATCGAGGGAGAAATTCACACGATATTCTTCCGTATTGCAGCTACTCGTTAACGACTATAATAATGAATCCGTAAGAAAAGGGGGGTGTTATAGAAAATCAGCCAAAAAGGGGGGTATAGTAGAAACGAGGTCTGTCATAACACCCACCCCGCACAAGCTACCCGGGGGTGTACAATTATGGGGGGGTGTTTTGTCCGGCAGTATACGGTATGTCTTGGCTCTTTGCATCTATTGTACCACCTACCACTATTTAATTTCAGCCATTGATGTTGGCCACTTTTTTTTTCTCTTCAACAGTAGCTATACCGTATTTCCTTCAATAGTTCCACCATCACAACTATCCCTTTCTAGTTGCATCTCTAGTCAACTCACTCTATTGCCTCAAATATATGAAACAGAAGTGCATGGCTCTGACAATGTAGGGGGTGCTACAGTAGAGAGAATAAAATCGTCATATTCTTCCCTATTATATACACACGGGTGACGTCATCACATGCCGCCCCGCCCGCCCTAGCACAAAGGGAATTGAGGCAAAACGAAAAACCCTCTGAATCCCTCCGGGCCCCCGAAAATTCCCGGCTGACCATGCCAAAAAACCCTCCGAAACTCGCGGGTTCAATGTCGTATTCTTATGCCAATATATATGTCAGCCGCACTGTTGCAATTTTGGGGACATTTGTCGAACAGTGCTCGACAGACATTGGCCAATCGCCGTTGAGCACCGTGCACCCCCGACAACACTGGTTACACCCGGTGGCAAGTCGCCAGGGCATCGCCTACACGGTGGCGCTGACGGTCGACGGTTGCGAAACCTGTTTCGCAACCGGCCGACGGTCGCAATCGACGGAGACGTCAACTGCGGCCAACCTGTCGCCTCGTCGGTCGAGCGAACTGTCGCTGTCGGATGGGCGACGGGTTACGTCTGTCGCAGTCAAACGTTCACGTCAACTGCTGACTGCCACGTCAAATGTCTCAGTCTCCACGGGGAGCAACATCAGCCCAAGGTCGCTGTATAAACCTGAATTCATAGTAGAAGCACCACAGTTTTCTCAGCAGGCCAGGATTTAGGGAGAAACGGTAGCTTTCGGTGGGCACTGATGGAGACCGATCCGTCGACGACAGCGCCTTCCCGGTAGGCGCACGTAGGATGGATACATGTCGAATTGGAGTCCATCTCCACACCACCCCCTCGTCGTCTGGAGCCAGGCCGGTTTCTTCCGCGCCCCCTTCGACGACGCGTGCCATACCGGAGGTGGCAGCGCCCACCTCGACGTCGCGAGCCATACCGGTAGTAATACAGCCGGTTGTTACGGACCAGCGTTCGACGGGTATTCCGGTCACTGTTGAAGTGGGTGGTGCAGAGACCGAATTCCCTTCGACAGGTCAATCCATACCTGTTGTCGTAGAACCCATCTCGACAACAAATGCCCCCTTTACACACGAGGCTCCAGCTCACCGTGCACCATCGTCGACAGCCCACCGCTCGACGGAACCTTCGGCTGGTGCACCGACCTCGACAGGTGGGCGACGTAGGAGAGCGAGGGCTGTTCCGCCTGAGGTTCGCCAACCACCCCCAGCCGGCACATCCGCTTCTCGAGCCGCCCCCGCCGCTCCTAGGCGCACTTCGACGAGACCAAGCAGAGAGGACATAGCCAGGAACGTCCCTGAAGCGACGGACGATGAGGATATTCGGACGGGAGAACAGCGGGAGGCGGACGATGTCGAACCGCCGGACCCTCTGCGGCCTGCTGCGGCAAATATATCAGAGGAGGATGCCGCGCACATTCTCGGCGACCAACCGGGCGCAGACAATCCGTACTTGGCGACCGGAACACTTAAAAGCAGGATTCTCCGGTGTGAGGTTCCGCTGCTGGGAGTTGACCAGGATTCCACACGGCCGAACTTGTTATAGTCACAGTAGGCTCCAATGTGCCTAAAACGAAAGATAGAGTGCACAGTCGGATTTCTGCACAGCGGCTTCAAACGTTCATAGCGTTCTGGTCACAACTTCAAATGACCTGATTCAACTTGGATCTGGAGCGTCTGAACGTCGCCCACAATAGGCAATTTAAATCGCACGATTTCATTGAGATGGGATGAGAGGGGCGAAGGGGATGGGATAAGAGGGGTTTGAAGGGGATGGGATGAGAGGGGTTTGAAGGGGATGGGATGAGAGGGGTTTGAAGGGGATGGGATGAGAGGGGTTTGAAGGGGATGGGATGAGAGGGGTTTGAAGGGGATGGGATGAGAGTGGTTTGAAGGGGATGGGATGGGAGAGTATCGCAGGAGATGGAAGGGTATGGCGGGGGATGAAAGGTTATGGCAGGGGAAGGAAGGGTAGGCGAAGGCAAGTAGGAGATGCGTGAGAGATGGTTGCGAGGGCATGGAGGGGTGATGCGAAGGCAAGGAAGAGGATCGAAGGGGCTGGAAGGGGATGGGATGAGAGGGGTTTGACGACACAGCGTCGGTTTGAACGAACGGCACTATGGCAGCAACATAGTCTTAGAACACAAAAAATAGGAAGAGATATGAAGAGTTACGAGTTGGGAATGACTCCCAGCTCCTACAAACCCCAAGAGCCGAGGTACAGTGATGTGGAACAGTGCCACACTTTCCCCAACCACGAAGGGTCTCGAAACTACCCTTCACTAGGGCCTACACCAAGTGAAATGTTACACTACACAAAGTAATGTAACTATCTTCAATATCTTGAGGTGTACCCTTTTGGCGAGCTTCGAAATCACTTGAGGCTTGACACCAAGGCTCGGGCTCTTCATCACAAACTCATCCTTGAGTTCTTGATGGGTCTGCTGCACACACCTGCGACACACCGAACGTTCGACACACGACAAAATAGAAACCGCGCACGACAAAAATAGAAACCGCGCGCGAGACACAAACGACCGCGTAACACGCGTCTAGCGATAACTCGCTATTCACTCGACACACACACTCGACATCATGACTCAACATTCACACACAATTATAAGCATGAAATATATATTATCCCATGCCCTCATACCATTCCATACACACACACATGCACGCACACGGACAACAAGCCGAGTGCAAACCGTAGGGTTGCACCAACAAACTCCCCCTCGGATTGTTGGCCTTAGGATATGTTGCTCTCTCAGTTCAGAGCCATCCCAGCCAGCTTGCAACACTTCCAATGCTGCTGCTCCACCAGCCTCTTAGTCATCATGTCAGCCGGCTGCCCCGTGGTCTTCACGTACCGCAACTCAACTTCACCCGCAGTCACCATGCTCCTCGTCCAATGCCACTTCACCCTCA